CAAAGCGACCCTGCCTGGCCTCCCGTGCTGCCACGCACAGCCACCGCCGCGGCCGGGAAACCCGCCAGTACCCGCTTACTCCCCAAAACGAACAGCCTTTTGCACCCCATGAAAAAGGAATTCAAATGTCATCGTAGCAGCAGCATCTCCTGTTCCCTGCCACAACGGGGCAGGGTGGAAGGAACTCGGATTCACGACACCTCCAGAAACAAACCTGAGAGAAAACAGGGTGATGAGAGGAAGGTTACCAAAGGCTGAGTTGCAGGAATGACATCTCAGCACTGAGACCTCTAAAATGTGGAATGGTTTACTGGGACATTTAGAGATGTTTAAAAGCAGAATAGGATAAAAGTTGCAACTCATGGGGGTTCAGAGCACCTTCCAAAAAACACAGTGCGAGGCAGAAAACAGCGGGGTCCTGCTCCGTGCCCACATGGGGCATGGCCACACAAACACGGCAGCCCCTTCTCTCCGGGAAGGTGGCTGCCACGGACATCACCCGCTGCGCAACGTGCCTATATTCCCCTTTGGAAGCAACAACTCCTTTGTAACATGTGTAGAGGTGTTACCAACAAAGGGCTTTTCCACCCAGGAAGAGACCATGCTCAGCCAGCCCAGGCGGCGGTGTTCAAGCCTGCAGTTTGACACAAGCTCTTGAAACAACCCTGCCGAGGGGATAAACCAGTGGCAAAGCAAGTCAGAAGCTATTAAAGAGTTACAGATCTGGGTAAATCAAGGGATACACTGTGCTGATCTTGACTTTCATCCAGCGCCTGGGCACAGCATGGATTGCTGGAAACCCGCACAGAGGTCCAGCCTGCCCGACTGGTCTGGCAGCACGGGGCGGCAGCCGGAGCAGCAAACGGGCAGGGCGCAGGAAAACTCCGGGCTTCCCCAGGGGCTCGAACAACAAACTCTCCCTTAGAAATAACCAAGGGAGAGCAGAAAGGCAAAACTAACTGCAGGTTATGCAGCAGGAACAGCCAGGCAAGGGAGTTGTTTTACACACGCAAATTTGCAGAGCCATCTTTATATATCTTTATTGCACACGTCTATCCTTACATATCTCATGGGATGAGGCCAACTTCCCTTCCCAGGACAAACTATTTCTACTTAATTCTGCCAAATCCATCTGTTCCCAAGACAACTTTTGTTACTGCCTAACACAGACATTTTGTAAGGGTAAATCTTCCCCTCATCCTCCTAGTCCCCACCCCCCAGTTGCTGGATCGCTCAGAACGTTCCCCGGGTGATGTTCCGGCCACTAAAAGGGATTTTTTCCTCCTGGCAAAGCTTGTGAGATGCCTGGGGGCACAGCATCCCCACACAGATGAGCTGGACCACGCCACCTTTGCAAACCCCTCCAAAAGCGCCTGCTAAAGCCACCCGCCTGGTGCAGGAGTCTCTCCAGCACCCATGTTTTATTTTCAGGCTTCCTGGCAATGAGCTCGTCGGTTATAAGTGGCATCACGAGCGAGAACGCCGGAGGTGAGCTAATTAGTGGGCGGCTGTCTGGAGAGGCAGCGAAGCGCCAGCCACCCCGGGCTCTGTTTGCTTTGGGTGCCCGATGTAGGATGCCGATCCCAGCGGTGCGCGAGCGCGTGTTTGCGTTGTGCAGCCTGGAAGACATTTACACTGACTCGTAATTTGGGGGAAAATACTGTAATTTATCTGCAGGCATGATTTGCCATTGGTGTGGCATAAATATATGTGTGTGTATGTACACAGCTCTATTTTTAGAGCTGCATGGCCGGGGTGCCGGCTCCACAGTTACTCCATTGACAAACAGGATGAGCTCTTCTCTGAGCTGGGAGGTTTTCAGTCCTCCCCCTTATTGTAAACATTATCTGCCTTCAAAATCCTTAATGTGTTGCAGATGTGACAAACAATAAAAGACCTATCATAAAAAAAAGCCTGCCATCTCCGTGTTTCCCACTGGGGCAACATAATAATGAATTTATTAGCATATAGCGCTCACCAACATATGTTTATAGTCACTCACAAACTTTTGACTTGACAGTTTACAAGTATGTTTAAATCATTAAAGTTTAAGTTGACTGTCCAGTTATTACAGGCTCATTATAAATAGGAAACAAAGGTTACATTTTATACAACAGGCGATAAATCAAAACTAGTCTGTATTCGAGACTGACTTTTTTTTTTTTTTTCCCTTTTGCTGGATTTTTGTCTTCACGCTTTCAAGACATTCTGAGGGGACATCTCGGTGAGGCCAGCACTGAGCAGCTGTTTGCTGTTAGCTGGCAGGACCAGCAGCACCCACGCCGGTGAGCAGGCGAAACTCTGACTGCATCCAAGAGATGCAAAGACCTCGGAGGTGGAAAACTCTGCCGATGTTTTCACTCAACCGCCAGCCAAACCCAGTGCCAGTCCCAGGCACCCACCTCTCCTCCTCCTCAAGGCATTGCCAAGTCCATCTGCAAGGCTTGGGAAACGCTCCGTAAGGGAGGAGTTCTCCACTGCCATCACAGGGCCAAGGAAATTTCCTCCTAAGCTGAACAAAGCCTCTAAGAAAAGGAATGCAAAGCACCCAAGCCGCGTTCCCCGACTGCAAACCTGAGAGTCAGCAGAGGCACTGAAAAACCCTCGAAGGGGGTTTTGGGTTTGACCACTGTGCTACGACACAGACCCGGCCCCCCCCGGCCATCCAGCCACGTTCCTGCCTTAACACTGCAAAGCATCCAGCAAGGATAAAACCAGGGAGTCAGCAACTCAACCCCAGCCACTCCCAGTCCTTTCTGCCTCTATTACAGGGTAACCACCTTGGGAAGGAGAGAGATAAAGCCACACTAAATGTAGAAGTTCATTTTGTAAACTATTTCCAGATTTCAAAGCCTGGCATCATTTCAAATCGGCATGCTAACCTAAAATTTAGAATTTGTGGAGGGGGGGGGCGGAATGTGGAACGGTTTCTGGTCCCTTTTATTTCGTGCTATGTACATGTGATATGATATGATGGAAAAAATTAATTGAAAAATACCCTTTCAAAGTAAAAAGAAATATCATTCTCAAAAATGTTGAAAGTGAGTATTTCCACACCATCAGCAACTTTTCCTGGGCTTGCTTCCAACATAAAACTTGAACAGAGTCACAGTTTATATCCAATACCAACCAAATAAGATTCTGTCACTGTCAGATCAGCTTTGCCTTTCTGCTCTAAAGCAAAATACAAAAAAAGAGCATTATGGCATGGGCAAGTGAGAAAGCACCAGAAAGTCTCCCTGCCCACTGTGATGGCACAGCTTGTGTCTTCCGCGACCAGTCGGTGCCTAAAAGCTGTGTTGGACAAACCTCATTCTCTCAGCAACCTGAAGGACTTAACCTGCCATGAACACAATGCCCCAAAGCCACTGCTGCTTTAAAGTTAATATTTATCTATCCTGTAGCAAAGGCAGCAGCAAACAACCTCCAGCGGAGTAGCACAGGGAGGACAAGTCCTCTTTTCCTATTACATGTTCACGTACCGCAGTGACAAGAGAGGTCTAAATTGCTAGACAGGCAGGTTGTCAGGGAGATCGATACAGTGATTGAACTAGCCTAGAGAGGCAGAAAAAGGCAGAAAGGATTATATACCTGGCTTCAGAGATCACTGATGATATTATGGGGAAGGCTATAAGAGGAAATTAGAAACACATTAAAAATAGAATAAAGGTGTGACACGAAGATCACAGAAAATGAAACACGTATCTCTGCTCTCGACTCAGGACGATGAGGATCACCTGTATTTCCTTAACGTACACTTTGATATTTAGTTCTTGCATGAAATAAAGTACTTTTTATCCTTCTCTGAATTCTGTATTTCTCTTTCAGACCTGGATCAGAGGACGTAAAAAGCCTTTTCTTTCCCTTACCCAATATTTGAATATATGTATTTTATGTATTTTACATAATGTGTCAATAATCTTTGATATGAAACTGGCATTTAATATTTCAGCTCTCACTTCATTAAGGACATTTTAATTATCCCAGACCAATGGAAGGGTATCTATAAACATCTGTGCTTCGTTTAAGAGCCCAAATTTGCCTCTTAAACTTCAAAGCTGTAAAGCTGATTTTATCCAGGTTCAGTTGTCTGGTCTCTCGAAGAGCACTGCACAGCACTGGAACCAGCAGTAATTGGCCCAAGCCTCCAGCCCGCAGAGCCATGTCCAGCGGACACCACCCATCCACGACGGACGCAGCCTCAAACACCCTGGTCTTGCTCGTGCGAGCAAAACGGATGCTGCTGCTGAGCTCCATGGAGCCAGGAGGATGACAGTGGATAGTGGGTTGGGGAGAAGGCACACAACAACAGCGTGCATGACTGCCCAAGTCACAAACCGGTCCTTCACCTTCTCCTCCTGATGGGTGACCACGAACTACCGCATTAATAATGTAGCCTCGAAGCAGTAGGAGTGCCTCATGGCCATTTTCAAAGCAACCAAAGACATGACTGGTACTGGCAAGCAATGCAATTTTAGGCTCCTGAGTACCTAAATCACATCTGCAAAATGAGCCTGAGCTATTTGTAAAAAATTACCACAGGCCCCCTAAACCCTAGATCAGAAATAACCATAATTTGCTGCAGTCAAACAATCTTTACTGACTTTCTGATGTCCTCCAGAAAGCAGAAAAGCTCATCTGTAAGCTCATGAGCATGGGCAGCAGCAGGAAGGAGAGAAGAGGGCAACTCTGGGACCTACGGCAGGTTTGCAACCTGTCTCAAACCCTCTCCCAGAAGTTGCCCTCAAAGGGGGCAAAAGTTGCCCTCAACCCATGCAAAACTGACCTGGAAAAGCAGTGCATTACTTCTCCAGCTGCTGTCCCTGCTGGCACCGAGGCCAGCTGGCACAATGCTGGGCATCGACAGCCTCTGGGCCGTGGCTGTGGAGAGCATCGGTGGTGCTTGCAGCAAGTGGACCTGAGCAGACCCCAGAGAGCAGCTCCCCACACCACCACCAAGAGCCACAACCCCCAGAGGGGGGGACCGCCATCCCCATCACCTGCTAAGAACCGGAGCTGGTTCCTCACTCGCAGCTCTCCATCCCCGGAGCCTCCGCCACAGTCATCTTCATCATCGCAGTCCCCGCTCTCCTCCTCCTCCTCTGGGGTCTTGCCTGGAGCTTTTCGCCGGGGCAAAGCCATCCCTTTGAGCAGCTGAAAGACACAAGGTGCCACAGTCATTCAACAGCTTCCCTCCTGCCTCTTCATCCTGCGCTCGCAGGGGGACTGGGTGACAAGAGGGGGACACAGATCAGTGGAGGCAGGACGGTGGGGCAGGACCCCATCACACTCTTCATGCCAAAGCACTGACGAGCTCAGGTTCATTCACGGACAAAGCTGCACACAAAATCTCAATGGAAGAAACAAAAGGAGGAGGAAAAACCACACTGAGTAACTCTGCCCTTCGGCTTCTCTCTGGCGAGCATCGCATGAGCTGGAGCATGTCTACCAGCCCTGCGAGACCCCAGAGCCACCCAAGCTCAGGATATGGCTGCAAAAACACATGTCCAGAGTTAGGCCAGACAGGGCAAAAACCAGCAGCAAGAAGAAACTCTGTTCAGGGATTCTCACTGCTTTCAGGGACTATCTCCCATCTAAGAAGTAACACGTGTGAAAGGAAATGACAGACCTCTCAGTTCCTTATGGCACCCCACAAAAATAACCTAAAAATCTCATTCCTCACTCTTGAATTGCAGAGGATGGTAGTTTTTGGGAGAGCCAAGCGACACAACGAAAGGACCCTTTAAAGGATGCTTTAAAGCTGAATCCTAACTAACAGTGACAGGTTGCACATCCCTGAGACAGCAATTCGAACACCTCCACCGAGCACGGGGTCAGGACTGCTTTCCAAACACAGGTGGGAGCTCCCCACGCTGCCCCTTCAGAGCGCACGGAGGGATTAAACACATTTTAAGCTGTCGGCTTCCTCCTCCTGCTGACTTTTCTGATTTTGCTATTGCTGAAAGCAGCCAGCTATTTCATCATAAACCCAGATCCACTTTGAAAAAGTGTGAGTCAGCCGGTTAATATATGCTGAAACTTTCTATCACTACCACTCTGCTGTTAAAAGTCTTCTTGAATTTAATCTCAGCACTAAAAAAAAATAGTAATGAAAAGGATAAGAAACAGAGAGGATACTGCAAAATGGGAGCTTTCTGTATACTTCAGGGGTTTAGCTAGTTCCATCTATTGCAACAATATGCGTGCCTTTCAAGGCATTTTTTAATATCTGGAATCTAGGTTATATTTTAAAACTATTAAGCTAGCCTTAGAAAACAGTTTCTAAAATATTTAGCTGCTGAAGTTTATACAGCCTTAGAGGAATGCTTTCAGCATCTGGCTCGCTCTGTCCACGGCAATGTCCACATACCTTAGTGTTTATATTAGAGGAGCATAACGTAATGAAAAACAAATGGCTCGACGTGAGACCCCCTCGGGTTCCCCGGCTGCATCAAACAACGCGGCAAAGCTCTCCTTGGCACGCGCAAAAGTCCACCCGGCGTGACAGCCCTGCTGGGTCCCACATCCACGGTAGGAAGTAAAATGCAGCTCATCTTCCTGAAACTCAGAGGATGCTTTTCCACAGCCTTCAACAGGCTTTGGCTCAGACCAGTTAAGTTCACTCTTCAGGAACTTTATTTTGTTTAGACATTTACGGGCCTTTCCCAGAATACAGTGTAACCACAAAACAACAACAACCAAACAAACAAAAAGGCAAATGCAGTGCTGGGGGTAGCTTGGCGAAGACCTCGCCCAGGAACCGAACACACCGACCGCTCAAGCCTTCACACTATCGCTTGTATTTCTCTCCTCCAAACGAAGCCCACAGCTAACGGCAGTCCTCGGCACAGAGTACAGCAGCTCAGAACGAGGGTCTCCCACGCACAGCAGCTAATTACAACACGCACCAGGTCGAACCCATTGCCCCAGTGCACCATTGCTAAAAAACCAAGCCCGTCATAGTGGAAGTGGACCGCAACCGCTCAGCGGCAGAATGCTCGCTGCTCTGCGGGATGCTCACTCCTCTGCATCCAAGGCATGGAGCAAGCCAGCCGGGACCCCACCACGCAGCTCAGCAGCACAACTTTCATTACTTACTCAAAACAGCAGAGGAACTCTCTGGCGGAGAGAATTAAGCTTTGGGATATTTTCAGATTTAATAAGCTCAGCAGGGGGTGGGGCAAAAATCAGGATTTTTCAATTGTGTGTTTTCAAACATTAAACTTACTGAGTGTTTCTTGTATTACTACTTTTTTCTTGGCACGTCATAAATTAGCAGCTTAATTTCTTTGCCTTTGTAGTCATAATAAAATGGGAACTTTCTGAGAAATGCCACGCAGGCCCCGACTTCGGATCGAGTGAACGTGACATCCCTGCTCCACGCTGCTCCTTCCTTTCCCAGGACAAAAACTCCATCCTCAGCCACGCGCTCCCCAGCTGCTGAGAACCACGGCGAGGTTCAATGAGTCAAATTTTGCAGCTGGGTCTGGGAGAAATGAAGCCCACGACACAACACTTACTGGCACCGTTAGCAGGAGACCTGGTGTAGGGTAGAAGTCTGACCCCACACCGTTGGTGCATCCAGACCCGGGAATGCTGTCAGATGCCTCAGCTTTGGCCACAGTCCCACTCATCAACCATTACACAACCTCCCCGATGGTCTGCACGTTTTACGAAATTGTATTTGGTGGACTGAACATAGGTTTTCCATCCTTAAATAGCAAGCGGAGCTGGCTGTACCCTAACATTACAGTTTATTCATGTCCTGTGGTTTAAAGTCTATGGTAAGAGGCAGGAAAATACATAGTCCGGCAATCGCTAAAGTAGTATGTAACAGATAGCTTTAACTTAATCACAATTCATCCAGCTGTAAGAGTTTACAGTTGTATCTACTCTTCTGTGCTAAACCATAATGACAAAAATACACTACGATGTACCCGATGTAAACAAGAGGACTAATTGTGGGAGTCTGCGTGCATGCACGCGTCTCTGCGGTGTCTGCAGGGCATTCGTCTCCCACCTGCACAACCACCATGGCAAGAAACACGTGGGCCACAGCCTTTGCTCCTGCCTAGAAGCTCCACCGAGTCAGGCATGCATCAGTTTTATTTCCAAACTCATCCCTTTTAAATCGTGACCCTCCGGATGGGTAGGGCAGGCAGCGCTGCGGTACCTCCACGGCCGTGTCAGCTGCCGGATCATTGGCACAAGGGATGCCGGGCAGCCCCGGCTGGTCTCCATATACATCTTTGCTACTTGGCTTGTCCTGTGGTCTCCCTACAGCCTAAAAAACAAGCCATATGGGAACGGTGCGCCGAGCCTTTCTGCAAGGAAAGCTCCCCAGGGCATCCCAGCGTGATTTACACAATTATTCATAACCGTACAGTGACCAGACAAAAACAGATGCAGCAACGCGGGGTAATGACTCAGCTGGATTTGGATGGGCCACCGTATGTTGAAATCTTCATAATTCCTCATTCTTTACAACCACTTTACTCAGAGCTCACCATCCCACCAGCCCACTGAGCCACCTGGTCTTGTTTTTCCAATTTTAACATAAACAGTGAGAGCTGCAATATACTTTTTATCATTAATCTCCCGTCTCGGAAAAGAAATCAGCATTGTGTTCCTTGGCCTGTAGTTTAATAGCTGTTTTCCCCTTTTGGAAACTACGCCTGCAGTATTGCAAATATCAGTTTGAGCAATACCCAAAATTGTGCCCACAAATTCAGACAAAATATCGGCAGTGAGCTCCTTTAGGGCAGAAATCATCCTTTTCAACATACTTCAAAAATATGTAAAGTAAAAAGAACAGCCGAACAGATTATTACGGGGAATAGAAGACTCTTAGAAAAACATTTAATTCCTTCATGAGTTTAGGGGAGAAGTCTGATTGATATTTGTAATCTTTTGGTGGACAGAGCTGTCATTTAATTTAACTTGCACAACTGAAAGAATTTAATAAAAGTGTTCCATAGAGTTTTGCTGAAATTCTTTGCATGTTTTTAGTAAGCCTCTGGAATACGATCAAACCTAAAAAGCTGGAGAGGATGGAGACTGAACTTGCAGCTAAAATAATATTCAGGGTTGTAATATACGCTTAATAATCAAGTACTCACATCCAGCAGAAAAAGTGCCTTAGTGCAGAAACTCCTCTGGATCCCCAGCCATGTGTCCAGGTGCTGCTTGGCATCATGAAGGGGACCCTGGGAACTGGACCCAGCAGCGAAAACCAGACCCTAGCTCTGCTAGAAACTTTTCAAAACTCAACCAAACTCACCAGCTCAGGACTGTCTGCAAAACTTGGGATGACTTTCTTTGGTAAGAAAGAGTTTTGGAGGACCAAAGGCATTATTTCCCCTTGCATCGCACAAGCTGCCCGTTCTGGCCACACACTTTTGGATACCTAACACAGATGCCGCTGTACTTAGAATCATAGAATTGTTTGGGTTGGAAAAGACCTTTAAGATCATCCAGTCCAACCATTAACCTAACATTACCAAGTCCACCACGAAACCAATTAAGGGTAGAGTAGCAACCCTACTTCCCACACAACTCCCGAGATTCCCAACAGCTCAGGTTTTTCTATTTTAAATTCCAACCTGCTGAAAACATTGCTTTTGGGGGAGAAAAACTAGATGTTATGGCCAGTCCTGACCTTGAAATCTGCAATACTGAATAATTTATGGGTGGCTTTTAAATCAGGGCAGCATCATGGGAAACGTGCAGATTTTCACACGATACTGTTCCCTGTTAACAGCTCATTACAATGTACAGAAGTATATTCCCATTATGAAATACAGCTGGGGTTGTTTTGCTTACGAAGGTCATTATCTGATCACAAGCAAGAATTGGGGAAAGGAACCTATTTTAAAAGGCTGAAGTTGTGGACTTTTTGAAAACTCATGTGTTTTGAATTTTGTGGCATGATCATACACAAACAAGCAAGCAACAGGAGAATCGATTCTCTCCACTTCCTCTGGAAATAGCATGGAAAAAATTATCTTTTATTAGGCAAATACTTTCTTTATTATTTAACCAACCCTCAACATGAGATTTGCTGGTGCCCTCCACTCCACTTTCATATTTCCCAGCTCCATTCAGTTTATCCTTTCTGTGGACAGGGGCCTTGGTGCCACAGGAGTGTGTGCAAG